CTATGTTCCCTTCATTTGCCCAATTCAAAGCTCACTGCAAAATTAATCATCGTTACACCTTAAGAACTGCCCTTTTTTGTAATTAAAAGGTTATAACTCCAGCAATCTTTACCATGGTGCACATTCTGCTTGACACTTACTACAGAATTTGCTTCTTTACAAGAAAAATGAATGTTATAAATCCAGCTTTCCTTAAGAAAAATGTAGGCTCTACAGCTGCAGAACCACTCTTAGGAGCAAGAACTCTCACCAGCTACTACAGTGACATCTACCTTCCTTGTGCGGAAGCCTGACAGAGTACATCTGAAAAGTGTGAATCAAATCCATTTGCTTCAAGAAGGTGAGAAAGGCAGAGCCTTCATAATATTTGACTTTTCTTTAAAGTACATGCTCACAGTGTTACTGCCAAACTCAATTTCATTTTCCCAAAGCCTTTTTTCCCCACCTGAAGCTGCCTCTTGCTAGTTGGTCTTCTCACAAAAGAGTTAATTGGGTTGGAGTGCATGTTCCTGAAGTCTTCCACCCAGGCAGGCAGCTGGCTCAAGCACTAGAGATGGAGTCCAGTTTTCAGGGAAAGATACAGGCAAGCCAGAAGTATGGGCTGGCAAGCTCAATTGCTTGGAAAAAAGCATACAACTAAAGAGCTCAGACTAGGACTCAGTGAAGCACTCTGCACATTCTAGGCAGACACCACGAGAGCGTTGGAAGGAAAGAGTCAGCCGGTCCACCTGGAAAATTCTATGGGTGTGAAACACTGGCATGTGGATCCAGACAGGGAAAAATGGGGGAGGGGGGGAAGCAGCAAAGGGGAGAAAAACAGAACAATAAAATACTTAATCCTTTGAAGTAGTTTTCAGCATGTCTGGATGCAACTGATACGGATAATGTTGATTAATATAGTCAATTAAGACAAGTCATGAACATAACACTGTGATGAAAACAGACAGGTTCTCCAGGCAGTGGATTAAATGAACCTTGTTTCAGAGTTTGGTCCTGTAATGGTTCTGCACACAGTATTTGTCCAACAGTTCAAACAGATCCATTTCCACAAATACAAACCATAAAAAAGTAAAACCTTTAAAACTAAAATGCAGTTTCAAGCCTTTGTTACTTGAACAAAAATTAATGGTGGTGCTAAATGTAATTAAAGTCTCAATCTCTTAATTCCTTGCAGCTGCCTATTTTTATTCAAAGGAACCAGTAAGACTCTTGTCAGTTTGGGAAACAGTTTGTACTACAAGACTTTCAGAACTTCTTACACAACCCTGCTGAAAGTTAATTAACAAATATCAGAAATGAAGATCAAAAACACTCAGAAAATGAGTGTTTCTGTAAGAAACATCCATCTTTTGGGATCAGAAGAGTATATAAGCAGTGCAATACTAAGGCTAAAATAAATGAGGTGTTGTTAGTCAGGTTCTGGAAAAACATCTCTAACACAACTAAGTATTATTTTACTGTAATTGCACCAAAATGTGCAACAGGTGACTAAATCCATTAAAATACTGTTTCATTTATTTTACTCAAGTATATGAGCACTTCATAACATTAGAAACATTATGATATAGAGGTATAGTAAAGGTATGAAGTATTCTTGGTATGTTCCTCCACCTCCCTGCCGTGGCAGAACATCACTGCAGCAATCTCTGGAGTTCTGATTTATTTCCAAGAAGCATGACCTCCGTTTGTATCAAAGAACACAAAGATAAAGGCTCAGATTTAGAAAGACAGATGGGTTTCTATCCAGAGGTATCAGATACTGACTGATCCCAGCAGAAGGTAGGTAACCTAATACTTTTGTAGAACTGGACCTAAATTTAAACAGGAAATGAGAAACATTCTCTCAAGTTAGGAGCTAATATTGTAACACTGGAACTCTCCTTAATTAAAAATGAAATGAAATCATAATAACAAAACTGGCCTGTGGCATCTCCAGCAAAGAGCGAGCTCTTCAGATGTAACATTGAATGGAATCTGTGTAATTTTCACATGTACTAAAATGTCCAAAAACTCAAAAGCAAAAGACATAAAAGGAATTCAATGAATTATTCTCTCTCATGCGTGAGGCACTAATAAACTCAATGCTGATAAAACCCAACCATCTCAGTACCATTATCCCCCAACTATTCCAATGCTGACATCTGTTTCCTCTGTCTAAATCATTACAATTGATGAAAATAGATTTGGTCTAGACAAGCACAAGGAGAAACAAATGCCATACTAACACTCTCACTTGTAGCTGATGGAGGGCAGGATTAACTCTTTTTTAACTGAACAAAAAGCCTTCTCCAAGTAACAAAGCCACTTTTTCTGGCTGTGTAACTGTTTACAAACCGTGCCTAATCCAATATTAGCACTCACTTTTATGGTCAGAGAATTTGTTTTTTCAACATTTGGCAAAAATAAACTATGAAAGCATATATAAAGCAGGACCACAGCACCTCTAACAGCCACCACCTGCTCTTGCTTTTAAGGGCCTTTAAAGCATCTCATGCTGCAAAAAGCTTTACAACTATAGGAAATGATCTACACCACCACCACATCACAAAGCCCTTAGCTGACAGGTATGCACTAGCTGTATTTCCACACCAGAACAGCCTTAATATCTCAAAACTGGTGTGAATATTAAGCACTATATAACACAAGTCATGTAAGAAAAGCAACTTCTAGCGGTGCTTTCCACGTATTTCTACAAATGACACTCCTGATGACTTCTGCAGGAACATTTCTCTATAGCTTTTAAGAGAGCCACAGCTCCTAACCACAGAACTCGAATTCATGTGAATTAAGTCAGTGAGGGCTTAAAAGAAAAATTACCCAAAACATAACATTCTGTAGCAAAATATTTTGCTTCTGATGTCACATGATACAAATTTTTCTGCCCCATTTTCTCAATATACAGCAGTTAAGACTGAAAGGGAAAGAGAGAAATACTAATAAAAAGGGAAAATACTGAAAATAAGTTATGGAGATGAGTAGTTGGAGCTGCATCTTTGAAACGTTTTTGCAAATGAAGACATGTGTTTAATAGGTGGCTATACAAAGTGAACGGGACTGGAAGCTAACACAGATTTCCACAGTGACTTCACCAGAGATGGAATCAGCCTGCAAAACGTGAAACATTTTTTCCCCTCTTTCAAGCCTGGCAAAAAACCCAAAACAAACTAAACCCCTCCAAACTAGAACTGAAGTTTCCAGAACTGTACTCTTACAGTAACCAACCATAACACATTTCAGCCCGCAAAAAAGGTATTTTCAATGAAATACACCTTCCAGTGTAGGTACATATTTGTAAAATGAATTTTATTTATACCACACCTCTAGTTTAAGGCAGATTTTAAGTGTTCTGATTACCAAGCTATTTTATTTTACATCTCCTGGGCATGTTTTTTTAATACATACACAACCAACTCTTAAGTTAACTGCAGTAATCATGGTTTGGGAAGAAGAAAGCACAAAGTCAAAGCCAAATTAAAGGCACTCTGGCTTAAGCATGGGAATGTCCCCTCTCCACAGCTTTCCACTTTACATACACCTATCCCACATAAGAGTATAAATTGATATCTGATACTTAAGTGTTCAAAAAGTTTAATTTCAAGGCTATATTCTTCACAAGCACCTTGATCCAGTTCCAGTGCCAAATCCACCTTCCAAATATTTTCACCAGATACAAGCTCTGCAAGTTCAGTGCATGGTCACCATTGAGAAGCTACTTCATTTAGATATAGTCCAAGAAAACAAATACATAAAACAAAAGCAGCATGCTTCAGTGAATGCATCGCTTCAAATTCTTATTAAAATATGCTAGAAATATGCTCAAGATGTTTTTTTCTTCCAAAAAAGTTCAATTCCACCAAGTTTTCCATGTTTCTCAATATTACATGAGTGAACACTTGGAATTTTAGCTGCATAAAACTAGGTGACAAAACCAAATGCTGATTTCACAAGGATGAAAATTCAAACTTGAATGTAACATGTGGATCTTTCTACGTAGACGAGTTGTACAAGCTGAACAGCAACAGCAAAAACCTTTAAAGTACTAAATGAGTCAAAACTGTAAACAGAGTAAAAGGATGCCCATCACTGAGCAGTGTTGCTGAGGAACAGCTGTCAACACAAGCCACGCTCACACACCACCGTATCTATCCAGCCATTCATAAACCTACATTTTTTCATATCTATACAAACAAAGACTGTATTTCTCTGTAAAAACTTAAAATGCCCGCCCAAAAAGGTATGGAGAATATTTTTCCACTAGTAACATTTTTATGATTAAATCAGTAGGCACTTGACAAAAGCGTTACTCTCCAGCATTACAGTAGTGGGCAACATTCCAGTCACAACTACGATGAACAAAAAGTCACTATAAAGAAATGTTTCTAACAATCAGAGTTTTGAATAAACAGTTTATAAAACCATGTAAAAATGTTTCTTCACTGGCTCACAGACAGAAAGCATTCTATAGAGTCAATTAAAACATCAGTTTTACTGCACAACTACCTACTCTGACTTAGAACTGTAAAAAATACAGCAGAAGGAGTTGAAGGACAGTCCGTTTGCCCAGTAAACAACATTATGTGACTCGCATATGATCCTTAAATAGCATGTCACATGAACCAAGACAGGTATTAAAATCTTATTAGCAAGCAAATTTATTCAGATTTTTGTTTACGAGCATGACTTACAGCAGAATGAACCTTTATGCTTCCCCACTGGAAAGCTGGGAAACTATTTACAGTCATCCAGTTTTCCAGTAAGTTCTGCATATCGTGATTCACTATACATCCTGCAAATACATCACTCGGACAGCCAAGTGTGAAGAGTATCTGCTATGCTCCCAAGTCTCCTCTTAACTAACCATGTTACTACTTCAAGTATAAAACAGAGAAATTTACCAAGGCGAATATGGGGGGGGGGGAAGAGTTTTCGTATTAAATAAAACCACACAAGAGAAAGAAGAGCAGAAAAACGAACCCAAGGCACAACTCGCACACACTTACATTTGCAGCATGACTTCGTTCAGAAACACGCCATCCACCAGCGCCACATATTCCTCCAGGTTGGTCCCATTTCCTCCAGCTAACGGTCCAAACGTCTTAACCTAAAATACAACCATCACCACCGTGACACTAACTCCACCTTGTTCTCCACCGCAAGGCGTTCATCATCAAACAATGAGCACATAAATGAGTTAAGGTGTGAGGAGAGATGAATGCTTACCCAGGTGACAAGAGGGCTAGACATGAACTGCTCCAAGAGGGGTGTGAATATCTCGTTCTCCATCTTACAAGAACACGGTTAACATCAACGTAGCTCCTCTGATGCAAAAAAAACCCTGAAGTCCTTTGCTGTAGCAACTCTGAACTGCCCCGAGGATTTAGCTGAAGGAACTGAACCCCATTTTTACCAAGCAATTCAACACCAACAAAAAGGGCGCTGGCAACTGGGATTTATCTTCTTCGTGCAAGAAAAAAGGCATCTGAAAGTCCATCTACGCGTATTTCAGCTTCTCCATTGAGGTCTCTCCCTTCCTACATACCGAAGGGGTAGAAGGACGGAAGGAAAGAAAAGAGGGAGGCTGCCTAGCTACTGGGATTCTGCATCAGACAAAAAAAAAGGAAGGAAGGAAAAAATCTGCTTCAGCAGCGGCAGTTCCTCAGAAAGGAAGGAGAAATCCCAGTAAAACTCTGCAGGCTCATCCTGCCCCTTCCCCACACACAAAAATCCAGAGGAGGGGAGGCAATGAGGGGCAGAGACCCCCAGCTCAGCCCCTGCACACGAGAGAGCCCCTCCGCTCCCCTCCCCGCAGTGGCACGACAGCCACAGAGGGGGAACCAGCCCCCGGCGGCAGGGATGAGAGCCTATTTTAACGCAGTTCCCTTTTCTACCCCCTTCCCTTTTCCACCAAACGAGACAGCGGCAGGACCGGCACACGCCGCCTCGCCCCACAACCTCGCCCTTCCCCCGCGCTGGCCGCTCCCCTCGGCCTCCGGAGCCCCCCGACCCCCTTCCCCAGCTCTAAACCCCCGTGTCCAGCTCTTCTCCTGCCCCTCTACGCCCACCCCTCCTCAGCCTCCCGCCGCACCAGCCCCGCTTCCCACTCCCTGCTCCCAGATAACGGCCACCTCGCCTCAGCCAGCCCCGCTGCGCCGCATCACTCCCTCCCCTCCTTCCCTCCCTCTCCCTCTGACGGGCGGCTCCAGCGCACGGATCCCTCCGCCCCTCGCTGTGTGCGCGGTACCCGGAGATCCCTCCGCCGGACCGGGACCCGGTCCCTTCCTCTCCTCGGGGGCGGGGCCAAAGAATGAAGCGGGGAAAGGGGGGGGGGGGGAAGCGCTGCAGGGCTCGTGCGCGGCGCGCTGCGGCGGAGCGCGCGCCCAACGGCCGCGCCGCGTGAGGGGAGGCGGGAGAGCGGCTTCGGCCCCCAGAGGAGGATGAGGAGGGAGGAGCGGCCGGGGGCCTGGCACACGCAGGTCTGCCCCTGGGGTGAGGGAGGTGCTGGTGGAGTCGCCTTTAAGGGAAAAAATGAGGGGTCGGTAAGGAAAAACTCGTTGTGTGGGAAGAAAAAAAGAGGAGGGGGGGAGACTCCCATTGGAGTCGCTGCCGCCCGTGAAGGGTAAAATGGGGGATGCTTCACCGTTGGGAAGCGCTGAGGTGAAAGCCAGGCACACGGCAGGGACAGAGCGGGGAGGGGGCGACCTGGTCGCTGGAAAGCGAATGATGACAGCGATTTGCTCGCCTAAGCTATTGTCCTTAAGCTGTCTCTTGCTACTTGTGTGTCACGTCCCTGCATTGCCATACGGGACCGTGCCTGCTTAATAGATCATGGAGTTTATTCACAAAGCGTCTTGCAAAAGCTCCGAGTAAATCCGGCTTCTTTCCCATGCAGTACAAATTAAACTGCAGCAGTGTTTGACCAAAGACCTTTACTTTTATACACACAGTTTAACAAAAAAGCCCAAACCACCACTACTAAACAGTGCAGTGAAACCGAAGTCCTTTTGGAGACCACCGCGGTAACAGATAACACAAGATTAAGCTTTTTAACCCAAATACTGGGTATGGCATTAATCCTAATGGTCCAAGAGTCGAAAAAAACATCCAGTCATGACCTTTTCCCCACATGTGGAGCTGAAGAGAATGTTTAAGTAAGTAAAACATTGGGGGAATAAATTACGGGCTTTGAATTATTAGTATGTAACATTTAAGAGTTGCATAGTTGAAAGACTTTGTTTTTAATTCACACAATTAGCACATTTGCATCAAAAGTCATGTCCTTCCCTCCCAATCCAAATCTTTAGAGTGACCCCGAGTCCTCCTGTGAAACAAAAGAACTAAGAGGAAAAGTCTGCAGCCTTGGATCTGAATAAGAATCTGGTGATCCACGGGTGAAATAATTCTCAGTCAACTAGTAACCCCTAAAGGCAACTATAAAAGCATTTTTGTAAGAGCCTGACTAACCAACCGCTGAGCTCCCTGTGTCTGCCAACAGTATATAACATGCAACAGTGCATGCAACATACCTGCCTCATCAGTTTGTTTCTTGTGGGCTCTGATGAGGCAGTAATGGCTTTGGGATGAAGCAGTTTCTAGGAATTAAGAATCTGGGTAGCAGAAGTTGATAATCCACACAGTAGTCATATGCTAATAAACTGGTTCATGAGTTACAGAATCATAGAATAGTTAGGGTTGGAAAGGACCTTAGGATCATCCAGTTCCAAACCCCCTGCCATGGGCAAGGACACCTCACACTAAACCATCTCACCCAAGGCTCTGTCCAACCTTGAACACCGCCAGGGATGGAGCATTCACAACCTCCCCGGGCAACCCATTCCAGTGCTTCACCACCCTAACAGTAAAGAACGTCTTCCTTATACCCAATCTAAACTTACCCTGTTTCAGTTTGAACCCATTACCCCTTGTCCTATCATTACAGTCCCTAATGAAGAGTCCCTCCCCAGTTCTTGAAAAACATCCCGAAATTCCATAACATTGAGATAAAGATTTGATTAAACAATTTAGATGTTTTCACTTCCATCCACACCACCAGTTTTTGCATGTGTTCTCAGCATTGCTGTTGGCCACTGTTCCTGCAGGAAGACTGTATCTTAGATAAATACTGCACATCCTTATGAAATACATTGTGCGTTGGAAAATCTCAGATGATTGGCAGTTCCTTATTCAAACTGGAGATCAGTACAAGAGATTTCAGAAAAGGTATCTAGAAACAGTCACGAGAGTTTTATTTTCGGTTTTGGTTTGGTTGTTTGGTTTCGACTTTGGGGATTTTTTAGACTAAGAGACCTTGACACCTGTGAAGAAGCTTTGTGTCAAGCTGAGTGTAAGAATACTTCCCTCATTTTTGGGTATATGCAAACATCAGAATGAGTTGCTGAAAGGGAAGTTATTTGCAATGTAGTAATAGTTAGAAGAAATTGGATAATCTAGAGATTGATCAGTTGCCTTTAGTGGTCCTCATGTAGGCACCAGCAGGATACCTATACAGACTAGCGACATTGTTTGCACCAGCCTTGACCAGTTGTGGGTCTCCTGGGCCAGCTCACTCATGCTCAGCAACAGAGCAATACAAACTAGTTGTTTAACGTTCAGCCAGCTAAGAGAGGTGAGAAGACTTGCTATAAGACAGGAATCTCCCTGCCTCTGATTGCTGAGCCTTAGACATCCCTTGAAGTAAATTAAAAGGTAGAAAAGTTTGTCTTTGGGTTGTTTTTCTGATCCCAAACTGAATGTGGAAGGCTTCCATTTTTAGCATAGCTGATGGGAGTCTTCTGGAGTACTGATCCAGTTAAAACTTAAACATTACAACTCTACTCCCAAGTGGCAGAGCAACACCACTATAACCTGTAGACTGTGATAGATTTGGCTTTTACCTGGGAAGACTCTTAAAAGCAAGTTTGATGCTACCCTTACAGATGGTAAATTCAGGCACTTTGTTACTACAATTCAGTCCCTGCTGAGGAAGTTGGCTCCTTGAGTAAACTGACCCAGTACTAGAGAAGGCTGACAGCAGGTGCTTGTGTCTCAGAGTGTGAGCTGACTGAAATCCTCCTCCCTCCCCTCCTTCACCCCTGAGGTGGAGCATCTGGGTTTAGTTTTAATAGTTTCAACCATTCTAGGAACATGTATTTGGGAATATTTTGGAACTAAAACATTATCCTATTTAAAATTTGGAAAAATGTACAAAGAACAGTCTTGTTCTTTCACATCTCCACTCTCAAGAATGGATTATTTAATGCATTCAATATTTAATACAGAGTGTGGCTTACTACTGCTGAAAGAGCAGATTCAGACATTAACCTTGTTACTTGAAGTGTAATGTTTGTTCTTCTACAGATAAAGCATCGCCATCTATTTCTATAGCATCTCCTTTGGTACCACAAAGACTGTACACAGAAGACACTGAAAACATAACCAATCTGTTCCTAGACTCCAGATCTGCAAATTACAGAACTACTTTATGGTCTCACTTTAACTTGTTTTCCTCATAGCATAATTTCCTGTGCCTCTTATTGCAAACTAAAGATTGAATGATTAGGACACAAAATGATGCCTTAAGTCTGCAGACAGCAGAAAAGCACAATTACATACAGCCCCATTTACCTTGTCAGAGTTTGTTGAAGGATTTCTGGTCAGCCCTACCCACGCTGAGCAAAGGGAGGGGACTGTTCTGGGAGAAGAGTGTAAACAATCTACCCAGTGTACATCTGATGCAAAAGACAGTGGTTTTCTCTTCCTCTCCTGCGTATGAAAGGAAGGAGGTGGCAGAAAGCTCTTGCTGATGTTTTTTTGCCTGTGGATCCACAGTGCTGGGTTGCTGGGCCTGTGTCTGATGAAGCTTCAGAAGAGCAAAACAGGAACTAAGTGGGAATGCTTGGGATCCACAGCAGCATTCTGAAAGTTCAGTCAAAATCAGAGTTCTCTGAATACGGGCTGACTCAACAGGGCAGTGGCTAGTGAAAACTGCAAGCTAACAACAGGGAATTGTCCTTGTCTTATGCTTGCTCCAGGAGAAACCTGTTTCTCTATCAAATCAGAAATAGATATAAAACGAAGAGTAAGGGCACTAAGAGGTTGAGTCTTTTAAGAATGGCCAGGAATTTCTGAAAGTCCCACAAGTACAGTAGACTAAAAGTTACTTCTTGTCTCACAGGAGTGGAAAGAAGGGAAATCCCTCCATGGCATGAATAACAAGGAAATTCCACCAAAATTCTTGAAGATTTCTTCCCCGCTACTGTGTCTGCTCTGATGTGACCAAAATTCCCCATCAGCTTTTAAGGGAACTTTCTGAGCCAGAACTGTAAGTAACCTCAGTATTTTGAGTGAAAAATGAAGGACAAAAGAGTTGGGGCTTAGGGAAAGTGGCTGTTTTCCATTTGAGGATTTTTACAGATCCCAGGCATTTTAAAGTTATGTTAAATTATACCAATTAGCAAGAAATAGGTATAGAGATAGCAGACAAGGAGCGTCCTGTGCTGGTATCTGTAACCCAGAACAGTTCTCTGCATCAGCATCAATGCAAATGCATCAGAATTTCCTGTCAGGCAGAATGTTAGTTGCACAAACAGGTATTTACCATTTCCAGCCATGCCTAGCTAGCATATACACATCAATCTTATTCCTTTTTAGCCACGTGGATATTGGATTTTCAACTGAATTATGATTAAAAGTATGATCTAGCACATTGACACAAACCCAGGGGTGGCTTCCAGTAATGATTTGTTGTTAAAATAAACAATGACTCGATTATAACTTGAAGTATAACTTGAAGTAATTAACTATGTTTTTTGAGTACATTGCATCTTAAGAGAAAGCAATGCAGTATATTGAGGAGATAGAACTGTAACAGTAGAGCCAGATCCTAACTCCTGCTGTATCACTGAATTGCACATATGCCAAGTCTTAATTTACTTGAAGAACTACTTGTGTACTTAAACTGTGAAACATTTGGTGAGAGTATTATATTTAATGCTGCTGTTCATCTGAAGAGGGAGGTGTTTGCAGCTTTTTGGTTCCTCTTCAATCAGTTGGACTGGCAGAATGTTACTGTGGCAAGTTACAGTAACATTCTGCAAGTCAGCTGATGTGATCAAAAATAAGCAACAAGTATTTATCTTCATTTTTAAATTTAATAGCCAATCCTAAGTCTTCCCATAGGCTTAGACTGCTAAGAGAATGTCAGACACACTGCCTTACAAAAAACCTCTTAGTATTGCAAACCAGATCTTCTTCCTGCTGCCTTGGTT